TATGTTGCAGGTCAGTGGATGGTTTCAAGAATATGAAGGTCTTACATTTGCAACATTTAGAGGAGCTGGGCATGCAGTTCCCTGCTTCAAACCAAGCAACTCACTGGCTTTCTTCACGTCTTTTCTCCTTGGTGAACCTCTGCCCGCCTCTCGAGTGTAACTAATTAAAGTAGATCCTATATTAATATGTATAGGGCTCAAAATGATTTTGCCCTTAGTACTATACCAACTATTGCTAGACGACATATGTAGTAGAAGACTATATATAGCCAAAATAAAGGATAACAAGTTGGTTTACACATCAAGAGGAGTAACCCTTCAAATATTTCTATATAAAATAAAGCCCTCGGTGCCAAGAAATTAACTAGTATTGTATACAAAACTACGTATCCAAAATAAAACCTTCAGATATCATTCAAATGTTCTGGTATCTACTTTTCTGAGTGGTTCTTTGTATATTCAAGTTTCGTATCTGTACACCTATCAATTTTTTTAGGGTTTTTATCAAGTTTGGTCTTGAAATTGAACCTTTTAATCAAAAGGTCCTTGGAATAGAAAATCCTTCATTCTGGTCCCGAAAAATGAATCTCGAAATCAATTTGGTTCTTCTGTTACCTTTTGTCAAATTTTATATTAGTGTGTTGATGTGGTACACATATAGATCTCACCCAGACCAACATCTAGAATATCAGTTGTCGACCGGATATCCTGGCTCAAACCAACATTTAGAGTATCAGTTGTGGATCAATCACAATTAACCGGAATACTATCTATTTTTAGCATTAGACAGAGCAAAGGAGGGGGCTGGGGCATTATGAAATAATTTCCAAGAAATAATTGAAATGTTTGTCTGTGAAGGAGAATGAATACCAAGTTGAATGGTGGGTGAAAAGACAGAAAAAAGCAAGCTTTCGTACCCAGATATCCTCCGGCCCATCTGCGCCCCACACCCTCCCACCCTAATCCCAGCCCAGCCATACCCACACCCCTTCATCTGCCTCTTGAATTCGAGACCAATCAGATAACCCAAAAATTCAACCTTTCAAGTTGGGTAAGGGAAAATGGGTGTAAAAATAAAAAATAAAAAATCAGTGTTTAGAGAAAATAAATTCATAAAATGTAAACGAATATATTTTGGGTGTTCAAAGAAATGAAGTAAATTAGATGTTCAGAAAAACAAAAGTGTTTAGAGACCAAATTTAAGCGTACAAAGAATCACTCTTTTCTCTAGTAAGTACCTATTAATCATTTTAAAATTACTAATTTTGTTTGATTAGGCTCAATGGACAGGGGACAATTGACATTATGCCACTGTCATGGAATGGCCCAAGGGGTTTCAATATTTTGCAAGCAATGTGGGAGGCAGTGGGCGTTAACACAGAACTTCATGTGTAAGAATAAATACTTTTAATTATTTAAACTAAAAGTCTCTTACGATTTTTGAACAATTTCAAGTTACACAATCGGTGCACAAATAAAAGTGTGGACGTGGGCTGTGACGTCGATCTTGATTGTCATTGATGGAAATGAAAATGATATCTCCTTTTCAATGTTTAGATGATTATATTTTGTCCAAAAAAAAAAAGATAATTATGAAATGCCTATACTATACTAAGATTTTGGGTGAAGTTCAACGTACATATATAGAGGAATTCGAAGAAGAAATGCTTTATCCCCAAACGACTTTCATGGCCGGTTTCGATTTCTATTCCAAAATGAAGGACTAATTATGTGGATATTTTCATAAAGATATTTTGTTCTCTTTCTTAACTAGAGAAAGTGATTGCTTACAAAGCATGTTTAATTAGGTGGTAATGAAGATATGATGTTTTTTATTTTTTTTATTTTTTTATATAGAAATTATTCCGTGGATCCATAATTTCTTACTTCAACAAGATATAAATATGTCTTCTTGACATTTACAAAACATCATGTAAAAGATCTTAGTTTTTGGCACGATGATGATGGTAAGGAGATCACATATTTATACCTTATTTGTATATCATTTCATGCAGTAAGTGATGTATACAATCAACATTCAATTAATGAGATAAATTTATTAATTGACGTGATGTCTACACATCACTTATGACATCGTATGGTACACAAATGTGATATAAAAATGATGTCTCCCTAGAGTTTTCCAAACCTTGCATTGCATATTATTTTGCGAACTATGCTTCTCTGCTAAAAGAAAAGCAGCAAGTATTACTGAAAAACCAATCACAAATTGACACGTATATGAATAATTGAATTTAAATTGTATTTGGACACTTGTATATTTGTGATTGGATTTCAACAGTACTTTATGCTCTTTTTTCAGTAGCATAATTCTTATTTTGCTAATCAATTAAGATTTAGGGCAAATAGGTCAAGGACACGTACGCTATGAAGTTCTATGAACTGCAGCCGATCAAGAAAACGCGACAATTAGGTGGAAGTGCTTTTGAGATAAGCCTGCCATTACCAGGGCGATACATAATGTGCATTAGAAATTAGAATTAGAGAAAAAATTAGCTCGGATGAAATATTCTAGCGCGTAATTAAATGCCAACTTTTGACACGTTGACATTTGAAATCCAAAATCTCATCTTGTAATCAACGGCGGATAGCGACATGGAATAATCATGCGTCATTTCGTGGAAAATATTGGCCTCACTGGGTCTCTCCCCATTTTCCATATCTTCATATATTATCTTAGGTTTTTCTTCCTACATTCAATTAGATTTGAGCCACTTGGCTGTCAATAATCACTATCAGTCCTTTTAATATTATGGTTTGTGTCCATATCATATGTTTTATAAAGTCTCCAAAATTCTATGCCATTAGTGGTTTTTTACCGCGCCCCGAAACTAGTTAATAAATTAATTCTAAACTGATAAAGGTTTATTTTGATAATATTTCTTATTAAAGTTTTAAAATAATATAACAAGGTATAAAGAACATTGGGAAATTTTGATAAATAACCATATTTTGTAGCGTGAAATGATTTTTAGCCTACCCTTTACATTTCTTACAAATTTAACAAAAAATCCATGCAAAAATTCTAAAATGCCCCCTTCCCTTCTCCCTTGTCTCTTCCTCCTTCCTCTTCGACTCTACAGTCCACTCCACAGTTCACTCCACCCTACTCCATCCCTTTTCCCAAATCCATCACCACCGTCGCGGCACCCTGTACGACCGACACTGCCACCACATCTCGCTCTCTCCTTACGATAGAAGATTTTTGAAAATGCATCTAAATATGCAATTTCTCATCTCATCGTTTTATATGATATGTGGAATAAATAAGAATATACGTTGTTCTAATTTGCCTCCATTAAAGCATTTTTGCATACTTTGAATTCTCATTTTTTGTAAACCATTCCAACAAAAGCCATAGAAGCAGTGGCAAGAAACATCATAATTGTCCTTATCACCAACAAAACTAACAGCACATTCACAAAACGGAGAAGAATGACAAACATGAAGAGAAAAAATGATATTCATAGAGTTTACTCTACCACAAAAGAGTAATAGAGTCAAAACTGAATACAACATCCAACAATCAAAATGCAAGCATAGAAAGATTAAACTTTAATTTGATTTCCAAATTGAGAAACAAAGCAAGATATGGCGGCGGCGTCGGTCGTAGTGGGTGTGGCAATGGTGGTGGTGGATTTGGGAGAAAAGCCAGGTTGAGTTGGATTGGGGTGGGGTATGGTGGACTGATGGGATTCGAGAGGGGGAAGAGATAAAAGAAGAAGGGAGGGGGTAATTTAGTACTTTTTCATGAGTTTTTTGTTAAATTTGTAAGAATAATAAAAGGTTGATTAAAAATCATTTTGTGGTGAAAAATATGGCTAGTTATCAAAATTTTCCAAGAACATTTGTGTATTTTCCAAAAAGAAAAAAAGATGTCTAAGATGTAGGTAATATCTACAACAAAAATATAAAACGAAATCCTTTGTTTTGATGAAGATACAAAATCATATCTTTAGTTAGACAGAATTTAACATTTCATGTTAAAAATGAAAGAAATTAAGCAAATGAAATAAGGTGCTGCTAGCCGATAGCTAAACCCTAGCTAGTCAAAAGAAAGTATATATATTGGAGACAACTAAAAAAACTGAAAGAAGCTTCGTACAAGTTTGTGATGAGAATAAATCTCGCATGGAATAAGAGACCTTATATGTGCTTATAAATAGTTGGTCTATTTCATATATTGCTAATTGGTTATCAAGGGGTCCAATGTGTGAAGCTCAGCGGACACACGTACTTCACATCACCCGATTTGTGTTGTCTACGTGTTAGGTTTGAAAGCCACACTTAAGGGGTATGTTGAGAATGAATTTCACATTAACGGGAGATGACATTGCATGTGCTTATAAGTTATAAGTAATTGAACTAATCTCCATATTACAAATTAATTTTATGGTGAAACCTCAACTCCTTCGATTTGTTGCATGCATGCCTAGTTAATGTCATTAGTTTACAGTAGATTAAAGTCGTTTTAATAGTTCTAAAAATTCTAGCTTTTAATCAAAGGGTTTTTGGGCTGGCCTACATAGGTTTTAAATTTATTAAAATAAAGAAAATAATTCTAACAATTAAAAACATTTTTCCAAGAAAAATCGAATTGCCTAGTGTTGTTCTATAAATGTGAAAATAAATAAATAAATAAATAAAAAGAGTCGAAAATTATTAGTGTATATTAAGTAATTGTGCATAAATGTAGATAACATCTCATATGGGCTTATCGTACGTAATTGAGAAACATCTCATGTGGCTTAAGTACGGTCTGGTGAGGGAATTGGTTAGAATTTTACTAAGATAATTTCAGATCACGCCACATTTTTTTTTTTTTGATACACCTCATACCACATTAAAAATTAAGTAATAGATTGTCCCGGTGGTTAGGCATGCTAAACTCATAGTGTAAATTAGTATAGAGTATTGCTTTTAATTTAAAAATAAATAAATCAAGGTTTCTATATATTCACACTTAATACAAATTAGAGTTGGATAAAACTATCAAATTAATTTTTTTTTATCAATTGTTTCTGTAACTACATATAACATATTTGTTATCGCCTATATAACAAGTATATAATTTGAGAGTGAAACTAAACTAAAAATTTAAATCACATGTTCATTAAAAAAAATATAATAACATAAAACATATATACGAAACCTTACCAAAACCAAACTAGGAATTCCAGTTCATGCTTGGGAGTTGAAACTGTGGGCGCAAAACCCCATCTCCTAGCAACTCAAGAAGTGCAGCATTAGCGTGAAACGGTGCCGTGCCCTGTGGCGTCTGATTCAGCATAGAAACAAATGAGTTGTTTTCATTGATGAGATCAGCATGAAACTTTTTGCTCGATGAAGTAGTAGTAGCAGCAGCAGTCCCTATCGATCCCACGTCGTTCCAAAACGGCGAAGGAAGATGACGTTTCAAGGGTAGGCTGCTTTTTGAGATGGAAGTTGATATAGTGCCAAACTGATCATGATCATGAGAGTGAGAGCCTGGTTGATGATCGCTTGACGATAGTATGCCCTCAAGATAGCTCTCGTGATCATCGCTTTCTAGCAACGCGGTGTAATCTGTAGTTGGCAGCTTTGATGATGGTGGCGGCGGCAGCGGCGGCAGTTTTTGAGTTGGCAGTATTGACGGGTGGAGAAACATACCCTCTTCCATAGAACTATTAGAGTCCTCGGCCTTGTGAAGAAAATGATCACCATCTATAGACATCACAGGCCCTTTGTTTTTCTTATAAATCCGACACAAAACCCAATCATCAAGCTACAACAACAACATGATCAACAATACATAACAAGGAATAGATCATACAGTCATGACAAAAAAAAAATGAACACAAGATATATGTCGCACATGATGGCTTGAGTGAAAGTGCTATTCGTGGACTGTGCCTGATAACACGATATGCCGTACACTTTCAGTCAGTCCATCTTGTGCTACACATGTCTTTTTTGTTGTACAAAAAAAGTGCATACCCTTAGGGAGGGTTTCTTGTTAGCTGCATCAGAAGGCTTAGTAGTACTAGAACTCATGTTGATGGTGGTGGTGGTGTTGTTGACAAGCCGATACTCGTGCATAATCCAATTGGTTTTAGTCCCTTTTGGGGGCTTCCCTCCATAGAAAACAAGAGCTTTTTTCACACCGACTTTGTGGTTTCCGATTGATGATAGAACAGGCTTATCCGTCCCAGTTGCCTTCCAATACCCTGAAGTTGCTGCCCTGTTTGGCCGTGCCCCATTTGGATACTTCCGGTCCCTTGGGCTGAAAAAATACCACTCTTGCTCCCCAAACGTCGCCTTACCTATATCACCAAAACCAAAATCAAAATTTTCCCAAATTGAAATTCAATTTCAGACGCGAATTAGGTCAGTTCGTATAGTGTAAACAAAACCAAAGAAACGTACTTGGCAGTTCCCATGGATCAAACTTGTACAAGTCGACCTCCGCGATGATGGTGACCGGAAGCGGGATGGAGGCGGCCTTTTTCTTGAGGTAATGGACCACCAGTTCTTCGTCCGTCGGGTGAAACCGGAACCCCGGCGGGAGCTGCGGGTGCTGTGAACCTGATGATGAATTTGTGCTCTCCATCAAAATTCTCCCTCTCAACAAATAATTAATATTGGAAAGAAAAGAAAAATACGAATATGAATTGATGAGGATTTAGAAAGGTTTTGAGAGTTGGCAGTGGGAGCTGGATATAAAAGACAAAAGGGGAACAGGTGATCGCCCGACATGTGGATTTTCTACGCAATGGTTTGGCGACACGTGGGGGTCGGGGACCACAAATTTGCAAGGGGGCGGTGATGTGAGGGAAGATGAATTGTCTGCCATCTCTTCTCATACCCTCTTATTTTATGTAGTTATGGTTAAGTCACGTTAATATTTACTTTTTATTTTATTATTTTTATAAAAATATTAATATAAAATATTGATATGACTTAATCATGACCACACAAAACAGGAAGGTATGAAGAGAGTATGGGAAGGGAAGAGCAGACAATCCATCTCGGATACGAGGGAGAAACGAAATGGGGGAGGGACAGGTTATGTGGGTCGGAGTTTTGGAACTGCCTGTACGCCTTTCATGTCATGCTTTTCTTGTTGGACAGCCAAACACTCCCTCCAAATAACAGATTTATGAGAGAGAGAGAGAGAGAGAGAGAGAGCATGTTGTAGATTCCATTTTCTCAATTTGTTGATGAACCAAAAACACAAGGGAAGATCCTGATGTAATCTGTGATCTTCTCATTGAGGATATAGTATTTTTTTGTGATCTTTATATTGGTGATGAACGCTTTTTTTTTTCTCATTCGAGTTAAAATTTCCGACAAAGTTTTTATCGAGATTCATTGTATGCACCATATCCTTAATATTGTACGTATTCAATTTTCAATGAATATCGTATGGGAAAATTACACCTACCTCTTGAACTTGTCTTTTACTTTTGTTTACCAGGTGAGTGAGTTCATTGCTTGTAGATGTGATTGACTTAAATTTTTTTGTAATAGATGTTAATTAAAGGCAACAAGCTTTATCGGATTGAATCTATAGTCAAGCAGATAACATGTTTACTTACTTAAAATAGGGCTAGGTTAAGAGGAAATAGGCATATACAAGTGATCAACTTTTCAAATAAAAAAAATAAAAAGTGACCAATCTAATTTCTAAGTTTTTAGAAATTGGATTGCAAATTTTAATATGGAAATTAACATATTATTTTTATTAATTCATATGTATTAATAAACACATGAAAATCCAAAATTGAATAACCTTAACATTCATTTCTCATAAGTAAACACGTCAAGTTAGTGTAGTTTCCACCACTAGCTCCTCATTGCATGTGTATTAATTAATTTAGAAGCTCAAGTAGCTAGTGATCAAATTAATTTAGCCATTTAAAATAAGACCCAAATGACATTTGAATTGTAATTTACCCATATAACGTGGCCTAGCTATGGCTAGCTAGAAGATTCAGTTGAATGTTATTTTCTAATTTCCTTTTAGGTAATTAAAACGCAATCATCTATTGGCTCATTTTGTTGTATTATTACTTCGATTTCTACAGATTATCACATGGGCGAGAACTACTAATCCATGGAATCAATTATATAGGCCTAATCATGCATGGATGGACTTCGACGGATTTGGATCCCATACGGATCTAAATTGTGAGGATTATAGGAATTCTCACATCTTAATCGTTCATCGTACCTCATGCGATAATAAATTATTTGATTTTTTTATTTAAAATTAAACACAAATAGTATCTGACAAATACTGGTCGCACAATATATACTGAACGGCTAGGATGTGAGGATTCCCAAGATCCCCATAAAATGAATTCAGAGAGGATCTTCTTCCGACTTTGACTACTATACGAACGGTCCATGTTACTTTTGTCCACTCAATTTGCTTTCAATAACCAAACGGTGGTACAGTGATGCTCACTTAAGGTCCTTGTTTTGAGAGCATGTGAGGACCTCTTTCATATGAGTTGTTAGATTAATCTAACGATAGCTAAGCTTATTAACTAAAATAAGGGTAAATTATATTTTACCCCTTTAGGTTTGGGGTCGATTTCAATTTCTTATAATATCTTTAAAACATTTCAAATTCGTACATTTACTTATCATTTTATTTTAATTTCATACATCCGTTAGAAAATCCGTTAAGTGATGAAATGGCAAATATGGGATCTACATTTGTGTTGACGTAGTTGCCAAATTTGTGCTACGTGGTAAAAAAATAATTTTTTATGCATTTAAAATATAATAATTTACCCTATTTAAAAAAAAAAAAAAAAAAAACCCTGAAACTCATCTTCTCCCCTCGACCCACCTCCCTGTCCTCCACTCTCTTCACCTCCCCTCCCATCCAAAAACCCACCCTTCCCCCGCAACCCCCCCATCCCACCCAAAGCCCCAAAAAACCTAGCTATTCAACCGAAAACCCTAAAACCCACATGTCTCATACCTCATCACCCCCACCCCTTTCTCCATTCTCTCATCTACAACCCCACCCACCCTTCTCTCCTCTGCAACTCGCACCCACCCTCCATTCTCTCCAACAACCATCCTCTCTGTCTTCGTGCCTCATTCCACGGCTAAGCCCAGCAAATTGTAAACCTTAATTGTCTAACCTTCAAATCAAACGGTGCAAGAGACTCGGCAACGGTGGTGGGCACGAGATTGCTGCTGTGTTTTGTTGGGCTTGAAGATTGTGTTGGGCTGCGAGAGCAGATGGAGGTGGCAGAGGCAGTTTGGACTTATATTATTTGTCTTCGGCTTAATTTCACCGGCCATGGTTGTGGGTTGAACATCTGGGTTTTTTTGGGTTTTGGGTGGGGTGGGGTGTGGTTGGGGGGTTGCGGGAGAGGTGGGGTGGGTGAGGTGGGGGGGGGTTGCGGGGAGATAGGGGGAGATGGGTGGGGTGGGGTTTGGGGGGGAAGGGGAAGGGGTCGGGGAAGGAAGATGGGTTTTATTTTATTTTTTTTAATTTATTATTTTTCTTAAAGGGTAAATTATTATATTTTAAATGCATAAAATTTTTTTTTGCCACGTGCCAGCCACAACACAAATGTGGATCTCATATTTGTCACGTCATCACTTAACGGATTTTCTAACAGATGTATGAAATTGAAATAAAATGATAAGTAAATTTATGAAATTGAAATGTTTTAAAAATATTGTAACAAATTGAAATTGACCCCAAACATAGGGGGTAAAATGTAATTTACCCAATAAGCTATGTTGTACCAAAACAAATCTAGCACATGAACCAATTAAAAAAGAAGATGGGGATCAATCTCTTCTAGTCGACGATAATTTTTTTATTGTGACGAGAACACGGGTGGTACACCACGTGTTTTTATGTAAGCGGTGAGAAATTTTACTTTTTAAGTTATTAACTTTTTAACACTATATCCTACCATTCATATAGTGACATATGATATACCACCTCATGTGCCGATCACATTGAAAAATCTCTCCCAGTCAACGGAGAATAGCGTGCTATCGTTTGCACCTTGTTGATTATGTCCAACATCGAATCCCTTTCACTCGGAAATCCTTTCTCTATCTCAAATTTTCATTTTTTGCCTATTAAAAATAAGGTCCGACTGGGATTTTGCATGAATGGGATTTTGCGTCGTTTTTGTCAGAAAAATTGAATTCTTGAATTGTTGAAGCAATTTTCAAACGTTGAATTTTGTTGAGATACACGATTAGGATGGATGGGTTTTGTAGATGGAGGGAATATGTGAAACCTTCTTCCCTCTTTTTATTTTTATTTTTTTATCAATTAATATTTTGTTTAGGTGTAACATGGAGTATTTAAGCTAATAAACCTAGCTACCGTCAATTTAATCTATTGATTCACATAAAAAGTTCCTCAAAATTAAGACCTTAGGTGAGCATCATTGAAGGGTGGTGCTATCCATACACCTCCAAATTTTCAACTGTGAGATCAAATGAATTGAAGATGATCAAAAGAAAAAAAAATTAACAAGAATGTATGAAAGGTAAAAAAGAATGTATAGATAGCACCACCCTAACCAAAACCATCCATCACCATCCACAAATTATAAAAACAAATGAGGTCATTTGCTTTGCTTCTATAGCTTTATATACCTTTGCAGTTTTGCTTCTGAACCATATCACATTGATCCGTGACTTGGGATGCTTTGTGCATCACAAAATCCAAACTTTGCTGATGAGATCTATTTAGGATTATTAATAGCCACATGCTGGCATAATATAAGTTATATTAGTGATCTGTGATCAGCTTATGATTGAGGGATGTGGAATTAATTTCTTCATTATCTGATGTTTAATTAAAGCTTAATTAGGGTCAATGATGTAGTTGATGCATGATGATGATACAACTTAGCTTCGCTTTACCAAATGTAGTAAAAAAATTCTAATTTGAATGCACACTAATTTATTGGTGTGTTGATTGAAATACTTTTGGAAGAGCTAAAATGCTATATGATTATAAAAAAACGCTATATGCAAATGTTTCAAAAAAAAACTTAAACCATTTATAAGCTATAGAAGTGCTTTCTAAAAGCATTTATTTAAATTTTAATAAGGAAATTGTTATTAGTACTCTAAAAATTTTATTTGGCACTCTTAACTTTCTATAATTAAAAAAAAATACACTCGTGAAGAGTGTAGAATAATTTTTTTAGAATACTAATAACAGTCTCATTAATAAAAACGATTATAAAGCGTTTAGGAAATCAACAAGTGGGTTGGCCCAGATGCCCGTGAACATCAAAAAATTTCTTTTCTTAATTAAAATTATAATCATATGACAGCTGCCATTATCATGTGTACTACAACATGGTGTTCTGTGGCTTAAAATCTGCGACCCATCACACTTCATTAGTTCATATGGTGCAAAATTGTGTAAACATGCACATGAACATACTCGAAGGTCAGATGGTATCTAAAACATCGTGGCTTCATGTTCAAACAATTTTTAATCATTTTTTGGCCCGACTTCAAAGTTCGAATTGAAATTAAGGCTTAATGAATAATGTTTCTGGAAAGAAGTCTCAAATTCCAGTTTGTCTTTAGCAAGTCATTTTCGCTCAACTAATTGTCCTCTAAATCAATCTGAAATGTTAATTCAACTTTGAATTTGATATCAAAGATGGAAAATAAAAAGATG